AAGAACTAACCGGCAGCGCAGGTTAAGCGCAGACTTATCCTTGCTTAGGTTTCAGGATAGAATACCCCAGAATCGAACTCTGGTGTCTTTTTCTATGGAAAAAGACTAAACCGAGAGCGCGTGTTAGGCGCAGACTTATCCCTGCTTAGGATTCGGGATAAACTTCCTAGGATGAATCCTAGATTGACAAATTCTTAGAAAAGGTTGGTGCGGGAAAGGAAGAATTTTATAATCTATCTCCCGGTCTTCTTTTAGGGTGAAGGCGAACCCAAATACAAGGAAGGAAGAATTTTATATTCTATTCCTTGATTCTAGAAAGGAAGAATTTTATATTCTATTTCCAGCGCAAAAGAAACTAGAAGTGGGATTTCCACTCCGAGAATCTAGAAAATCTAGATAAACTTACCTTTTATAGGACTGGTTATCTAATCTGAAGATGAGTTCCTCGTTTATCAAAGTGAAATTTCAACGTCGGTTATAACCATGAGAAGGCTTAACCGAAGAGAAAAGAAGGGAGTTCTTTCGTTTGTCGAAAGGGGACTCTGAACTAAAAGTGGACCTCTTGTTCATGGAAAGAGTTAAGAGGGCCAGAAAGATATTTTTGGTGGACTCACTGTCAATTGAAATTGATCAGTGAGGGATTTTGGTGATGAAAATGATTTTGGGTTATCCTCTAGAATATTAAGTGTAATATTCTTTAAGGAACTTCCCGGTAAATGGGTTATCCTAAACGTACTAGGGATAGTACTTTTTCAGGAACTTCCCATTTATTGGCATTAATTGCCTGGCGCCCTCTTGAGTAATCAGGCGATATGCGCCGTTTGAATAGACTGTGTCTATTACAAACGGTCCTTCCCATTTGGGTTCGAATTTACCTTTCTTCTTGGAGGTGAGAATTATTGGTCGGCGAGCAGCGAGGACCAGATCTCCTTCCTTGAAGCTTCTCTGTCGGACTCTTTTGTTAAAAGCCCTAGACATCCTGGCCTGATAAAACTCAATTTGCTGTTGAGCTTCCAAGCGCTTTTCATCCAGCCTCTCGAGCTCGAGACGTTTTTGATGTTGTTCTTCTGTCGTCATCTCGGTTGCGAGAGCGATTCGAAGGGATGGGATTTGAATCTCCAATGGTAGCACAGCTTCACATTCGTATACCAGCGAATATGGGGTGGCCCCTGTAGGTGTGCGTATGGTGGTGCGATAAGCCCAGAGTGCTTCACCGAGTTTATAGTCCCAGTCTCATTTATTGGTCTTCATGATCTTTGACAGGATTTTAATAATCGTCTTGTTAAACGCCTCAGCTAATCCATTCACAGCGGGATAATAAGCTGTTGACGAAACATCTTGAATTTTGAACTTGTCACAAAACCTGACAAAGGCGTTGCTTATGAACTATGGACCGTTGTCATGAATGATCCGTCTCGGCACGCCGTGTCTGTATATGACATGATGCTTAATGAAATTGATGATGTTGTTCGTCTTCACTTCCCTAAGCGGAATCGCTTCAGCCCACTTTGAAAAGTAATCCGTGATTGCGAGAATGAATCGATCGCCTTTGACTGAAGGGGGAAAAATAGGACCGACGATGTACATGCCCCATGTCTCAAACGGCCAAGACGTGGTTGACGTGTGTAAATGTTCTGGTGGTTGGTGCATATAATTCGCATGTATTTGACAAGCATGACACTCTCGGGCGTATTCGATTGCGTCACGAACCATTGTTGGCCAAAAATATCCCATCCTCCTGCTGCGATCATACAGTTTGGGCCTATCCCATTCTTCTGATGCGGTCATACAGTTTGGGACCGGGCTGATGCGCACCACATTCTCCTTCGTGTGCTTCCTTAAGAACTTCTTCTGCTTCTTTGTTCGAAAGGCATCGGAGTAACAAACCATCGTACCCTCTACGGTATAATGTATGGGTCTCAGTATTATAGAAGAATCTTGGTGCTTTTCGGCGGATTGATTCCCTTTCTTTTACATCCTCTGGCAAAATACCATATTGGACGTAGTCAATGATAGGAAAACGCCAATCTCGGGACTCAGACCCAATTTGAGTTGAATTCACCTCCTTGACGCTTATGTTTCTATCATCTTCCTCTTCAATATCCATATCGTATATGGGTATGCAGAGCTGATGCGTCCTTACTGTGACTAACAGCTCAGTTTCAGGAGGCTGCGCAAGTGATACTGCTAGTGCTGCCAGTGCATCCGCATAAGCGTTCTAGAGACGAGGGATGTATTCAATAAAGAATTCTTCAAAAGAATCTGCCATTTTGATGGCCTCCTGGTGGTACGGGATCAGGTCTTGGTTCCTGACTTCATACTCTCCACGGACTTGGTTGACTATCAATTGAGAATCCTCAAAAGCTTCGAGATATTCGACCCCCAGCTCCTTGGCGAAACTGAGTCCAATGAGAAGCGCGTTGTACTCGGCTACGTTATTGGAGCACGGACTAGTCAATGAATAAGCTCGAGGCATCACATGCATCCCCGGGGAAACTAAGACAACTCCAACTCCGGAGGAGACTTTAGAACATCCGGGGGTTATTGCCACATTAACTGCCCTCGAAGCACCATCAAAGTATAATTGCCATACTTGTTGGTGAGACGTAGTGTTAACGCTCGTGAGTTTATCCCAAGGAAAGTCTCATATACTTTCGCCAGTATCGTTATCAGGTTTGCCTGGCCAAAAGATCGGAAATTGGCTTGGACGTAAATCGTCTGTCCAACCAAGTAATGCCGCATCTTTTGCATTGCGAATACCAACGCGAGGCATTCTTTCTCAATCATCGGGTATCGAGACTCGGCGCCTATCAAGGTCCGACTTAGGTAATAGACTGCCTGTTCGTGACCATTATCATCGTCTTGTGCTAGTAAGGTGTTCGTGACCATTATCATCGCCTTGAGATAAATCAAGAACGGTCTACCTGATTTTGGTGCAACGAGAACAGGAGGATTCGTCAGATATGTTTTGATATATTCGAATGCTTTTTGGCAGGTGTCGTCCCAGATAAATGACACCCCTTTCTTGTTTAGCTTAGAGAATGGCCGGCACTTCCCAGAAAGGTTTGAGATAAACCGCCGGATGTAAGCTAGCCGCCCTTGCAATCCTCTGAGCTCTCTCAAATTTCTAGGAGGTTGCAGTTCGTGTATTGCCTTTACCTTGTCAGGATCGATATGTATACCTTTAGTGGTGACGACGAATCCAAGGAATTTTCCGCTAGACATTCCAAGGAAAGATTTAGTAGGATTCATCTTCAATTGATGGCTTCGCATGAGATCGAACATCATCTTCAGGTCCTTGATGTGATCTTCTTTGTTACGACTTTTCACAACCAAATCATCAACGTAGCACTCGACTATTTTCCTGAGATGTTCCTGCAAAATTTTAGTCATCGCTCGTTGATACGTGGCGCCTGCATTCTTTAGACCGAATGGCATCACCGTGTAACAGAATACACCAAGGGGCGTTCTGAACGCTGTATGCTTCTCGTCATCTGGGTGCATCTTGATTTGGTTATATCCTGAAAACCCATCCATGAAAGACATTCTCTCAAATCCGCATGTATTGTCAATAATAACATCCGTGATTGGGAGAGGAAAATCGTCTTTTGGACATGCCGTATTCAGATCCCTGAAGTCGATGCAAATCCTGATTTTACCGTTCTTCTTCATGACTGGAACGATATGGGCTAGCCAATCCGGATGTTGCTCCTCTCGGATAAATCCTGATTCGATCAATTTCTTAACCTCTGCCTCGATGGCTTCCATAATCTGCGGACGAAACCGTCTTTGCTGTTGCTTGACAGGTTTGGCATCCGGCTTGATATCGAGGCGGTGCATTGCCACATTGGGGTCGAGCCCTGGCATATCCTCGTAGTTCCAAGCGAAGACGTCAATATACTCCCTGATGAGAGCAATTAACTCCTCCTTCTCATTTGAGGGAAGACTATCGCTGATGAATATAGGCTTTGGGTTGGCCTCGTCACCCATGTTAACTTGGACTATTTTATCTTCAGTGGGTGGTTCTCTTTGTTCGAACCTATCGCCGTACTGCATGTTTAGGTGATGAACCCATGGATCTTCCCACGTTGGCATTTGATCGTCGTCTTCTATCGTCACAGGATCGACCGTAGTCATATGCGACATCAGTTTCTTGAACACCTCCCCCAAACTTGCGTCGGAATCCCCAGCTGAAGAATCAGAAGAGTATCCGTTCTTAGT